AGAAAATGTTTTTAATTAATGTTTCCCATATTCTTAACTCTAACTCCAAATTGTAATTAAAAAATTGTAATACATATTGAAAATAGTCTTCAATCTAACGACATGTATTAATATACCTTTCCCTCTTTCCCTTCAAATCGTGGTAAGTATTTGACTTGAAAATGGGTTTTTAAATATCTGGGATCAGTTAACCCTTCAAACCACTGGTACCTGGGGTTAAGGGACAGTGAATTTGCTGCCGTGAAAATGCTGGTCACCCTTTCAGTTATGGGCCGATCAATCACTCTATCGACCACTCCGTCGGCCATTATTAGGGACACAATTTCCGAGAGCCAAGTGGTGCCCGATTTAGCAAAACCGCAAATCCATACGTCATTTGGCCTAACAGTGGTGTCCTTTACGCTAAGCAGCCATTCAAGTCGACCAGGCTTATTAAATATAAATTTGCCCTCGTGTTCAATCAATGGATTAACGTCTAAACCCGAGTGATATTTAGCGCGGCGTTCAATTTGCTCTCTCGATAACGGCTTTGAATTCATAATTAACGCAAACAATTATATTTAATAAAAACAATTCAAGTGAGAGTTGAGTAAAAGATATATTAATACATGTCGTTAGATTGAAGACTATTTTCAATATGTATTACAATTTTTTAATTACAATTTGGAGTTAGAGTTAAGAATATGGGAAACATTAATTAAAAACATTTTCTATAATATCTGTAATTAAATCTGCAATTACTTACATTACAACCATAAATTATTGCACAAGTTAGTTTACCATTAAACTCGATGTAAAGTGAATTAAATGTATTTACCAATAAGTTTATAATTAGACTAATGATTAATGACTAATGATTAGTCACTAATCATAATTAAAAGTTAACGATTGTTAAAAATATTTAACCAAAATGTAAGCCTTATAGTTGGCTAAAGTTTCCAAAAATAATTTGTTTAATTTTGATCACGAGTGACCATGGTCGCCGCCGCCGTAGAGTATATCAATATCTGAAACCTTGTGATACAAAATAATATATAAACTTATATTTTTGGTTCAATCATCTGTTAATACGTTTATAATTGTATTTATTTATACTTAAATCAAAATAAAATATTTTTCTATTTATAAATACAGTAAATCAATTAATTAATTGTTTATTTGGTATGAAATCGTTTGACGTGATGGTGAAGATTAGCCAAATGGGCGTAACTGTAAGCACATCCCGGCCAATGACAGACATACGGCTTAACGTTATTATGTATATTCATGTGGTATTTCAAATACTCCGTACGACCGAACCGTTTGCCACACTCTGGCCATAAACACGGGTACGGCTTCTCACCCGTGTGTTGCAGTCTATGCTGATCTCTGGCGGCGCCCGTCCACTCACATCCCGGCCAATCGCACCGATACGCGCGCTTAGGTTCGGGCTTACGGTTGTGAACAGCCGTCTGATGTTTGTTGCGCTGGTGTTGAGTGACGAACATCTCAACGCATCCATCGGTAGAGCACTTCCACATCGGTTCGCTTCGATGTCGGCGCCGGTGGCGGCGAAGACCTTCGGCAGTACTCACTGTCATCTGACAGCCAATGAAATCGCAGGCAAACAATCTCTTGGATGTGTGTCTCGACAAATGCTTTCGTAAGCCTTCGTTATTTCGCGCGCAATACAGACAGCCATCGAAATGACATTTTAATGGTTTATCGCTTGAATGTGTGGTCATATGAGTCTTGAGCTGAAACGAGTGTCGATACTGTTTATCACATCCATTGTATTCGCATTTAAACCACCGATTCGTGTGCTTTGCGTACAAATGTGATTGAAATTTGCTGTCAGTTTTACACGTTGTCTGACATCCAGTTTCGGGACATTTGTATAAATTTGTGGTCAAATCAAACATTTTCTTCCTTTCATTAATATCTGGTATGAGATGAGACTTCGGAAGTGTTTTGTGTGTCATTTCATGTTTCATGAAATCCACTCTGTATTCAAACCGTTCATTACATCCATTGTATTCACATTTAAACCACTTTTTACTCTTTTTGTGAAATGCATATAAATGTGATTTAAATTTGCCGTCAGTTTTACACGTCGTCTGACATTCAGTTTCCGGACATTTATATGAATTTGTGGTTAAATCAAACATTTCCTGTCTTTCATTGAAAGTCGGTATCAGAAAAGTGAAGCCATTTTTGTGATTGATTTCATGTTTCTTGAGATTACATCTGTTTGTAAACTGTTTATTACATCCATTATATTCGCATTTGATTGTCTTATGTCTCTTCGCTTCGACATAACTATCATCTGATTCTTCGCCCAATTCTTCGACATAACTCTCGCCCGACTCTTCACTCATGTCTTCACTCAAACAAAAAGTGATCGTAGAGTACAAAAAGAACGGACTTTTTTAGGACTTTAAAACATAATATTTTATAACTATACAATGCAAAACATTTTGTACTTTGAAATACAAATTATTGTGACAACATAAAAAAATAAAATTATATTACAAATTATGTACTGAGGGTTGGGCTCGAACTCAAGGCCTATTACAATCGAGTCGGCGACACTACTGACTGAGCTAATGTGACATGATATTTTACATGTGCTTACAATCCTATTCATTGATATTTTATACTTTAAAATACAAATATTTTGTCATTTCAAAATGACAATTAATTATTATTTTAAAGTACAAAAGTACTTTTGTACTTTAAAGTGGTGAAAATCCCATATATTTCGTACCACTTTATGACAAATTGGGATAAATTATGAGAATTACGTACATTTTGTACTTTAAAGTACAAAATGTATTGACTTTTGTATTGTAAAGTACAAACGTTTTTTTGAGTGTTCGTTGTTGTCATTCATTTGTCTGACATTTGTTTTAATGTTAGTCTTGTCTGAAGTCTTATGGTTTGAATCCATGTCTTCGACGACTGGTTTACGGATCACTCGCTTATTAATGGGCTTTCGTTTCAATTGTCTTCTTTTGCGGACAACTCTTTCATCCATTGATTGTCTTTTCGTGGATTCACTCGACTCTCGATGACTGTCTTCGGCGACGAGTTTTTCAGCAATAGTTTCATTGTCTTCACAGCTGTTCATCAATTGATCCAAAGGTTGAGATATTGAGTAAAAGTGTTGTTTGTCTTCACAATCGATAAGTGTTTCATATTTT